AAGGTTTGAAGTTAGCAGGAGCAAAAGGCATAAAGGTAAATGGTAAATTGTCAGATACATCATGCTTTACCACTACTCTCTTACTGGCTGATGACCTGCCACAGCCCTGGCAAAAAGAACACACTGGACTGGTCCATAGGCTAGAAGATGTCTTGAAAATTCAAGCTGATACTTAAAGGGTGTAGCTGCTGGTGTAAAATAGTGTGGTTCCATTGGGTATTAGGGATGTAAGTAACTAGTCAACTAACAGATAAGCAAGAGCTTATCACTATTGACTAGTCACATTTCCCCCCCCCCCTTCCCCCGCTGCAGCTCTGCAATATTAAGGCACTGGGGAGCTGGCGCGCAAAGACGCTGGCTCAATCCCTGTTCCTGCCGGATCTCAGCTTAACACCCCCATTGCCACTCTGTATTATTTGGGACCGGGGAGCCAGCGTGAGAGGACACTGGCTATGTCCCAGCTCGCCCACTAGTCCCAGACCCAGTGCAGCTTTTGCTCTGCAACTTGACAGAGCTGCCTAGGCTGGAGAGAAGCAGATACTGGATGGAATGTCACAGCTACACTGCAGTAGGTCTTGTGTAATAATTGGTGGCATTTCTCTCTCCTCTACTAGTCAAGTAATATTGACATCCATTCCTGTCAAGAAACTAAGGCTCAGTAAAAAAAAACCTGGAATGTAGTAGTTTTCATCAGCTCCTTTTTGCAGACATACTCATCTTTGCAAATGTGATTCTCACTTTTTTTGGGTCATTCCTTAAAAACAATACTCCTACAGGGCTTAATTCAATAGACTCGTACCTGCTGAAGACATTTCTACTTGTATAGAGGTGGTATAGATTTGGTAGAATTTTTTACTTTCACTTTATGCGTGTGTAAATAACTGTAAAGGTAAGGCAGTGGAGAATCAGGCCTTTAGCAATTTCAGCATTAAGGCTTTTTTTCCCGTCTCCCAGTACAATACCTATATTAGTAATGAGATTAGCAGATAAGCAGTATTTAACACAGGGGGATTTAATAGTGATTTAGATGAACTCATTCAGAACCTCTCAGTACATGTCCAAGTAGTGACTATTTACCTGGAGAGATGTTGCTACCTACCACATCAAATAGTTCAGATTAGAATAAGAATGGGGGATAACAGAAGTTGCATGAAAGTTAGTGTAAATGACATGAGTAAATCTGTGTAAGTTGCATGCTGATGGAGGAAAAGGAGGAGGTGGTATAGCAAGAAAAGTAACAAACTGGGCGAAAGATTAAGCAGGATCAAGATTGAAACTTTTTTGCTTATAAGACCTCTCTCCTGTAGATTACACCTGCTCATTATTGTGGGGCCTGATTCAACTCTGCATTACTCCAGTTGTATACCACTGACTCCACTGAACACAAAGTTAGCATGTCAGGGTCAGCTGATTCAAAACTGCCTTCCATCAGCTGTCTAACGGCACAATCAATGGAGTTACACCAGTGTGAAGTTGGAGTAAACCAGTGGTGAATTGGACCTGCATTGAAAGCTGAATCCTTTCCCCCTCTTCTGCTACTGAGATAGTGCAAAGCAGTTGGAAAGCTAGAAAAAGACAGGTATGGATTCCCCCGATGAAAGGTAGCTTTAAGTTGTACAAAGCTGGGATAGTTAGTTCTATTCTCCTCCTCACCCCGCCACACACACATGCTTCTGCATAGGGGGCATTTTGCGGGCCAAACCCTCAGTTGCCATGGCTACAGGCTGTTCTTAATTATTCTGGGGGCCTTTTCAGTCCCAGACTGGCCCATGATCAGAAGAGTGGAAGGGTACCCGGAAGCCCCTCTCCTAAGCTCTAGCAGTGATGAGGATTGAAACTGGACTTACCAACACATCACTTTCCCCACCATTTACCTTGCTACTGAATATGGCCTTGATTATGTTGCCCCTTTTAAATGTGCTGGTGACAGAAACAAGGAAATATGTATCGACTGCTGAGTGAGGAAGCCAAGGTACGCTCTGCCAAAGGTGTGAGAGAGAACAGCCTGAGCTCAGCGAATCAGTGGTCCTTCCCCCCGCCAACCCCACGTGCCACTTCAACAGTGCTGCCATAAGATTCATAGAGTATGTCTACATCCACAGAAGTCAGGCTGCAGCCTGAGCCATAATGTCAACCCCACAGTTACACAGCCTCTCAGCCCGAGCCTCAGGAGCCGGGGTCATCTGACTTGGGCCAGGAGCAGGTACCTAACTGTAGTGTAGACATACCCACAGACTCATAGCTTTAAATGAATGAGATACTGCAAGGATTAGTGAGCCCTGAATTGTCAGTGGATTTATTTGGAATCATGTAGCACAGTTGTTTCTATAACTTTGGCATATTAAGAAAATTCAGCGATCCTCAGATTTCCAGCTGCTCCAGGCTTAGTGCTAGTACAGTGAACCTAATGTAGAACATGTGAGGACCTTGGAAAAGGCATATTCTTAAAGTTTCTATGCTTCTTTATTCATCAAGGTGTCTTCCTTTGGTCCTGTGCTTTCATAAAGGGTGTAATATGGGGTTTATAAAACTGCCTGAACTTAGAATCTCCTTTCCTGCAACCAGTACATTTCCAACCAGGCTAACTAGCATGCAGCATGTGAGCAGGTGAAAATCTGAGGAGGAGTCTGATGACAGTCTATTATCCACTGTACATGCACCTTGAATGGCACTTGTGCATCTGTTATGTATTTGAGCATGTTTTTACTAGCAGACCTAGAAATCTTGAAGCGAGTGTTGCAAGCAGCTGTGTGAGAAACAATATAAAAGGAGCAAAGTTAACAAGAGACTAGAAGGTTGTAAAACAAGAGTAGCAAAGTGCATTCACCAGAACTAAATTTGGGAGCATTAAAAGCATTTTACTATAGCTAATATACACATGCATAGTCAATGAACTAAGGGTGCGTCAACAGAGTGGCATTAGCTCGAAATTAGCTATGCAATTTGAGCTATGTAAATTGTGTAGCTTATTTCAAGATAGTCTATTTTGAAATTTGGTGCAGTCTACACAGAGACAAATTTTGAAATAGACAATTATTCCAACAAATCCCTTAATTCTTGTGGGACGAGGTTTACCAGGACATTGGAGTAGCAAGCCTGTTATTTAGATTGCATTTCGAAATAACAGACATGCTGTTAAGATGCGGAACATGCTACTTTTCAGAACACTGGATGTAACTTGAAATAGCCCCTCTGTCTAGACGTACTCTAAGAGCTCTTTTAAGGGTTCAAAATCCTCAAACACACACATACACTTGGGCTACGTCTACACTGGCCCCTTTTCCGAAAGGGGCATGCTAATTTTACAGGTCGTAATAGGGAAATCCGCGGGGGAATAAGTAGGAATAAGAGATCCTCCGGAAAAGGGCTTTTTTCCAGAGGATCGGGGCCAGTGTAGACGCTCTTTTCCGACTTTTCTAAAAGCCGGAAAAAAGCGGCGGACATTTTTATTTAAATGCCGCGGGGGATATTTAAATCCCCCACGGATTTCCCTATTACGACCTGTAAAATTAGCATGCCCCTTTCGGAAAAGGGGCCAGTGTAGACGTACCCTTGGAGTTCAATTGTTAGGTCATGGTATTTAGAGATATTTTATTAGTATCTACTCTACCATAGCAGAATAGTTGTTTTTATACCCAAATGGCTATGTCTCCACTACAGAGAAGATCGAAGCTATTGCTGTCAATCTTCCAGGGTTCGAAGTAGTGGCTCTGGTGAAGACACGCTAATTCAAACTGAGAGGGGAGTCTGGTCGATGCTGGTAGCCCTGCTTCCACGAGGGGTAAGGGAAGTCGAAGGAAGAGTGTTTTCCATTCCATTTCCTGCAGTGTGGACAGTGCCAAAAGTCGAGTTAAGGTACTTTGACTTCAGCTGTGCAATTAATGTCACTTAAGTTGCGTATCTTAATTCGACCTTAGCCCTTAGTGTAGACGTATCTTAACAGATATCCTATGATTGTGTCATATATTTTGAGCTGCACATGCTGTTGGATAGCCAGGACAGGCAAAGTCCTCTCTCCCCTCTAAATGATCTTTATTAGCGAGAGGCATTAGGGGTTTGCAGGGGAGGAGGGGGTAGGAAAGAGGGGGGAGTCGCTTTCTTTTTCTCAGTGGGGTGCCACATTAGTGAGGGTTTGTGGGTTTTTATGGTGTTTTCCAGTAGCAAATTCTATACCAGTCGTCATATTTCAGAGAAGGGCTTTCTCTCCATGTCTGACAGGTAAGGCCTTGTTAGCACACCTTTGGGGCAGGGAATGAAAAAAAAAAGATTGTCCACAACAGGACCAGGTTTCTTCTTGGTAGGCAGGGCCTGGACTAACATTCTCCAGGAGCTGGCACTGGTGGTTTGGATCCTACTTGTGATCTCTAGGAGATGATTCCAACTTGCTGAATATTTTACATCTATTGGCTGGGTGGTAAGGAGCAGAGATTAAACACAGTTATGTAAAGGTAAAAATAAGTGAGATTCCTGGTGTTTCAAACAAATAAAACCCTTATGATCAAAAACTCCTTGTCTGTAGCATGGTTGTCATTTATCTTTGCAGTTTTATTTTGGTTGAACACTCAAAGCCCCACCACGATCTTATTATACTTGGGTTTACCAAATGTGCAGACATTTATCAAATGGGCCCTCAGTAGCAGTAGAAATGCAGTAGTACATCCAAGTTAAAATTTTTGCTTTGATTACTACAAATCCATGGAGCCCTTGGGTCCAAAGCTTCTACTGCAGCACAGCTATTTGCAAATAGATTTTTATAGCACATTAGTGCTGAAGGAGAGTCCAAAGAAAATAGTCCTTTCAATATTAAAACCAGCTGTGACTTTCTTGTGCTGATGACTCATTCATTTTTTTTATAGGGTGGGAGAACTAGGCAAAAGACACACAGAGTCTTATTCAAGACGGTGTTTGTTTTGCAAAGGGTATCCTAGCCACAAGCCAACTTGATCATACCAATATGCAACTCATGTTTATTTAAAACTTTTTTCTCTCTCTCTTAACAGTTCCAATTATAAAAACTGAACCCAGTGATGACTATGAGCCTGCTCAAACCTGTGGACCAATGAACCAAGGATTAAACCCTCTCTCTAAACCATACTACAGCCAGCAGATCATGATGCCTCCTGATCCTGGTTCGTGCCTTGTGGCTGGCTTCACTTCCTGTCAGCAGCGAAACACTGTGATGTCATCCTCTCCCAACTCAAGCCCCAAGCTGCATGATCTTTCATCTTCTGCTTACAAGTGCATCACCAACCCGGGCCACAGTCACCTAGGACTTCAGCAGCCTGCTGGCGGGGTCCCTACCATACAGGAAGTGCCAAGGTCTATAGTTGTGCACCCAAGTTCTCCAGAGCAATCATCTCACATCATGCTGCAGCCGCAGGTGAGTCAACATCTGAGCAGTAGCTGTTCCCTTGGTTACCAACAAACACTCTATCCCAACAGTCCCTCCTCTCCAGTTCCATCTGTTACCCAAGAGCCAACCTATTTGCAGTCCTGCAGTCCAACTCACTCATCCATAATGGGTCAACAGCAGCACCAACTGCCGAAGGTTCAAAGAAATGAGTCTCCAACAAACCAACCACTCTCATTGCCAGAGTTGCATGAGGACAGTAATCATAATTTGGCCCCTATTCCTGTAATGATCAAGCGAGAACCTGAGGAATTGGACCAGTTGTACTTGGATGATGGTAAGTCTTCCACAGCTGTAGAGGTTTGCATTCAACCATATTGCTGTATCAGTGAGTTCTTTTAACCCCCCCTTCAGAATTCTGATGGAAGAAAGTGGCAATTAACAGCCTTGTGGAATGGTGCGGAATTTTGCTCTGATGTTCTCTATCTGAGAAAGAGCTCTTTAATTTGGTTTGCAATAACGAACCTGTATTTTTAAGCATTAAATGCTGTTAGTCACTGTAGAGCAAGCTGCATGACCAATAGCTACATTGCAATAATATTAACCATATGGTCTTGGTTTCTGCCTATGCCAGTGAGCTGTGGAATGGCAGTGAAAACATATTTAACATTGTCCTGTTTGTAATGCAGTGAAACTTCAGATACACAAATCTGCTAACTGGAACAAACTGATAAACTGCTCTACTTCAGCCGAGAAAACTCAAATTAAAATCCGAGGCATGTCCTTCAGCTCATAGCTTTTTAGTCTTGTGGCATTTGCAGTTACGATTGTTGGGTTTTTAGGTAGCCGATTTTTTTTCTAGTTTCTAAAATGTGTGTGTGTGTATGTGTGTGTGTGTATACATATATGCAGACACTGACACAAAACTCAAATGCTAAAATGCTGTGATGAATTTGTCTCACGTTGGTTTCCAAAGATTTAGTAGCTGAAGATAATAAAGAGAGTAATCTGGAAATTGATTATATGGCCTCGTGGGGCTGTAATTTAGCACTTACCGCTAAGTATCCCAGTAGTATTCTGAACCTTCACCATAATGCAATATGTGAGCTCCTTTTCAATAGCAATATATCTTTATGTGATATACTATGCTGTTTGGGAAAGGAATGTATTTGAAATGTCTATATTGAAACTAATTGATGTCAAGGAGCTTCTGAATATGATTGTCTTTCAAGGTGAAATTATAACAAAGACAATTAATTTTACTTTTTAAGTATAATTTTGTGACAGTTTTCATTTGATTTCAAATGGCATGATACTTGTTGAATTGGGATAAAAACATTAGTATTTTTTAATTTAAATAATAGCATTTTGCTTTTTGGTTTGGGAATACATATTAATAGAGATCCTAATCAGTTACATGGCAGACAAGTAAAAGAACTTTGCTTAACTTGGAGCACAGTTCATTAAAGTTTTATGTGGCTATTTCAAAACTTTACTGCACTTCTTTCTATGCTGAGGACAGGCAAGTCTTCATGTAAACATAATCTTTTTTCCCCACATGCATACTACTTTCCAAAACAAGATTTGAACTGCTGCAATGTCCAAAATGAAATAAACAAAAACTAAGAAACAAAAAACAAACACACACAAGAAACCCTAATCACATGAAAGATTGATAGAAAGCAAAGATTACCCAGGGAGGGACAGATTACAAGTTTAACAGAATCTACATATAATAATATTGAAGAGTCAATCCATAGCAATAGTCATCCATGTGACCATTCCTCTAGAAGAGCAGAACATTACACCTCCACAAATTATAATCCATCATCCCCTCTCTCCCTTTTTTTGTTTAATACAATGTATTAATTTCTCAAAAATGAAAAGGCTTACTTTAGAAGGGAGAAGTATAGGAACATCCGAGCTCTCTCAGTCTGAGACATGCTTGATAGGCTGTGCAGTTGTTGCAGTCCCCTGAGAGAAGCAAACCTACCTCCCCCCAGGATTCAGAGCTGATCTATGCTGCTCTCCATTTGGAGGGGCATGGTTGAGACTCAGGACTGTTGGTTGCAGGGATGCACAGATCCTCTAGACAGAACCCCCTCAGTGAACACAAGTGCAGCAATCTCAGAACCTGTTCAGCTCTTAGTGTGCCGTACATGTTACAGGGCAACAGTGTTGGTGCTCTGTTTTCTAGTAAAGAGAATTTCTTTTCTCTCCCCTCTTCTCCACCTCATTGTCTCTGGAACGAGGTGTACCAGTAGTTCGAATTAGAGATTCTAATTCGAACTACCTACTCCGTGGCGCGTGTAGCCGCGGGCATGGAGTTCAGACTAAGGGGGGGGATTAAAAATGGCGGCGCCTGGGAAGATGCAAATGAAGCCCTGGATATTTAAATCCCGGGCTTCGTTTGCAACTCCGGTTGCCCTCATTTGCCTATCTAGCTCGAATTCCCGAGCTAGTGTAGACATACCCTGACAGCATAAATGACTTGGGCCCAGTCATTACTTTGAAATCACTCAGCATCACTATAGACAGATGATGGAATTCATACTTCAGTGTGTATCATGCTAGTTAAAACCATTCTGTGACTGGCCACAGAACTAGAGACAGAGAAACAATTCCTGCTTTTATCAATAGTAAGAGAAAATACATGTTGTTGCCAAACTCCCATGAATTAAGGAGCACTCTCTAAAAGCAGTGGCGTCATAATTCTGAATCCCAGAAATGTACTTGAAAAACTAACTTTTCTCACGATTATAATGTATGTCTTCTTTCCCTCGTCATCTCTTTCTTTCCAACTGATTTACACTGTTTACTTCCCATACTGCCCATGGTATTTTTATTTCTGCTTATTATTTTTATTGTGCTCTATGCGCGAATATCAATCTATAGATTACACTTTACATTTTTTTTAAAAAATCGTATTTCATCAATGCTGCTTTGCAGACCATCACTGTGGTTCATCAGAGATTAACGTTGTAGTAGACGGCTGTCCTTTGGGGAATTACCCCGTCTTCCCTAACTTTCTTATAATTTACAAGTGGAGTGAATAATTTTTATGAGATTGTTTCAGTAAAGAGTCACCTTCTCATACCCAAAGAATGATTATTGAAGGGTGGAATTTTGACCGACAAGCACAGTTCAGAATGGTAGCTTGGTCATTGCAACATCCATATAGAGACCAACTTGCTGATCTCTTGGAGTTTCCCAGCTATATATTATTCACTGAGGGCTGATTGTGATAACCTGGCTCACAGTGCATTATGCATTCCATCATGAACTGTTTCACTGAAGTAACTGGAGCTAATTGTCAAATTAAGTACTAAATGCTGGCAGTGAAGATATCACACAGTGGATATGATTAACTAGGAAAAAAAACCTTTCGTTTGTTTTTGTTACAGGGCCGTAGTCAAGTTCAAATCATTGCCATTATTTCCCATTTGTATTTTATCCACCTTCAAGTGTTTTCTGTCTTGGAGCATTATATAGACTGTATTTATTTTGTAATAGTATTTTGAAGGTGAAAATATAGAATTCCAATCAAGCCAAGAAATAGAGACAATTTCATCTTTATTTTTAATACATTGAAATCATCTTCTGTTTATAATTTAAGTATTGATTCAGTCATGTCTCTTCAGGCTTTTATAACTAACTACATTTTCTTTCTATATCTCTATGTGAATAAACAATACCGAAGCTGTAAAAATAAGTTAATTTTAATGCACAGGATTTCTTCCTTTGGCCCAAAATTCAATATTCAACTCCCCCTCTCCCTAAAAGTAATTTAATAAAATCTAATCAATCAAAACTAAATGCCCTACTCTGTAAAAGAAGTACCAGTGATTCCATGTAGTCCATTAGCAACTTATTTGCTATTGATTTTATATGGGAGGTGCTCAGATACAACGGTGATGGGCGGCAACATAAAACCCTAAAATAGACAGACAGCATGCTAATATCACCACAGGACAAATTAAAAACCCAACCATGGTTACACAAAGTGACATTTCATTCAGAGTCTCACAAACTTGCCTTTTTTTCTTGGTTTGATTTATGTATCTCTACTGCTAATAACTTTTAAGTAATCTTGGACCTGGAATAAACAGAAGTTTTCCAGTTTCAGCCTGTGGGATCAAAGCAATATTCATTCATTTGGCCTGGAGTAGTTCCAGACTTAGGCCATCTACATCACAGAGGTTCTTGGAAAAATGCAGTCAGTGTGTTTATATAAATATATGCACTGTATATGATGTTTCAGTGTTGGTGTAATGATATTCGGCTAACATGGTATAAAGGGAAAACCCAAGGAGGCTTCTAGTTTGACAAGTAAGTATTGGTCTTGGCAATTTCATTTTAAACAAAAACCAACAGTAGCCACCTGGGCCACTGATTAGATTGGTAGCCTGTTTTAATACATGAATATCCATCTCAAAAACAGTATAAAATCCTTGAAAAGCCCCTTGAAAAGTAATGTGAGCTTTATTGTGAATATATTCCTAATATTGAGATGTGTCTGGCTCAATTAGCATTCTTGTGTCAGACAGCACTGAAATTTAATCCCAAACAAGACTCTGATTGACTCCCAATGCTGACACCGCAGTAGTAAGGGCTGAGGTACTGTTCAAAGTGTGGTCTTTCAGATGAAAGAGGTAAAATGAGCTTTTATCCTTGTGTCTGGTGGCCATCCAGGCAATTCCATAGTTCCTTGCAAAAAGAAATAGGAGTTGCCTTCAAGACCCTGACCAACAGTCCTTACGCAGAAATGCAAGTGATAATGGCCAAGACATTGTGCGTGAGAGCAACTGCTGGTTGCCTAACGGCTGCTCCCTTTGCTTTTACAGTCACTGTATTAGCAGTATCAAACTTGGGGTCAAATCCAAAGCTCAATGAAGTCAAAGAGTGGTTTTGGTGTGAAAGGTGTCTTATTAAAAAGAAAAAGGGATGTCCTAAGCAGAGACTCCTATATTGGGAAAAGGAGAAGGCTCCATGAATTGCACAAGGCTCTAACTTGAGAACAACTCAGACACTAGGGCGATAAGAGCTATGGAAAACCCTACAAGACAGACAGCGAAAGGCAAATTCTATTCTGTTAAGCATTTTAAGAATCATTGATTATCAGCACTGAGTCTTGAGTACAAAAACAGATAAAATATTGTTCATGAGGCTCAAAGTCACTGCCATGGTGCTACCAGGAAGGAGAACAAGGCTCAGGAACAGTCGGCTATCATTGGTTTGCCAAGCCACTGGAGTATAAATGTGCTTTACAGCCTTTTACAAAAGAGAGCAGAATTATCACTAACTAGCCAAGAGATCAGCTGCTTCGGGGAAATTAAG